TTTATTAAATTTTATTGTCCGCTGAGGAATTTGCTTATGCGTGCATAGTTCCTGTCAGCCATTTGTAGTGCCTGCAAGTTTTTAATAGAATGTGTGAAGATTTATTTTCAGTTTCGCGTTCGAGAGACCTTTTTCTGCTGATCTCACCATTTTTTAATGGATGATTGGAAACACTTTGTTTGCCATCTAATGTCTAGCTGCATGTGATCGAGCTTTGAATTTGAAAGATGTGGTAGATTTGAAGATGTAAGCCACTCGTGCTTGCGAAACGTTTCCAGCAATGCGGCATGATCCAAACAGTGACTTATTGAACATCAAATTCAGATTGATGAAACCTTTTGCGGTTTATTCAACTTTCTCAATTCCAACAGGAAATTGTATTTGTTCGCATTTATCTTCCGCACATAATCTTAATGAAATATCTATGGCTCCTGGTTCATTATTAGTGGTAGATTTAATTCAAAATTCACTCGCCATTGTTTCGGTTATGTTTTGGTGTTTTCGAAATGATATCGGCTGGATGGAATTTTTGTTTAGGACCCGTGACCGATGGAATCACAATGGCCCACGACCTATTATTCTGAATTCAGTTGTTTTGCGGCCATTGTGCGAAATCGACTGCAAAATGATAAATTGTGCCAAAAATGGACGGGAAAAATGCGAGCAAGCTCGTAGAAAAACCCGCTGCCTTTGAGAGAAAATTTAAACAATTGTAGTTAGGGTTTATTAATGCTATTAACTGGGAAGCCCAGAGATGACGTACTATGGCCACGAGAGCTATTCAGTTTTTTTAATCTAAAACTCTTCCTTGGTTCACCGCAGGTTGAAAATTCAATTCAATCAAGCAGATTGATTCCATAATCCATAATTCAGTTCGACAATTAACGCCGCGCGACTGATAAAATTTGCATCAGTCTTTCTCGGTTTGAACGTGCCAGAGAAGTGTTCGAACCTGTTTAATTAAATCATGTAAATTAAATTTAATCCATGATCGAGATTGTTTTAAATATGTGCCGGGTTGACATGTGCATTTCGAAACGCCGCATCGAATTAACATCGCGATAACTGGCTAATTTAGGCCGGGCAAAATTCCAAAACCCAATAAAACTACCCAGGGGCTTTTGCCGACTTTTTTCGTCTATGAAAAGTTTCCCTACGTTGTCTTCCGGGGAGATTTTAAAGAGCGAATTCAATTTATCTCCAGGAGCCTCCGTGAGGCGAAGTTCTGAGCTTGAAACTAGGAAAAAATTAATTAACTTTGCGCCATTAAGGCGGAAGTTTTGTTTTCGATACTGCAAAGTTTTAATTACCTACCTGCCTTCACTGAACATGTTTGCATCTAATCGGCATACATTTCCAAGTTCGCGGAAATGCCAACTTTCTCACTTCTTCTTGGAAATTTACTCGAATTCATATGAAATAGTATCACATTTGAAACTGATGAGTTCTACAATGTTAAGGTTTCAAAACTGGTGAGTTTCTTTTTCCACTGACGATGCAGGCCAAGATTTTCCAAGACGGCTTTAGTTACAAAACTCATCACTTTAAAGCAATGAACTCGACAATTTTTCGAGACACATTTATTCGAATTCCCCATCATATTTGCCAAATAGATCCAATAACAAGGGTATTTTCCAGACGGTATTTCGACAGGGATAAGGTTTCTTTAATCAATGTATGCGCTATTAGTTTTGCAGGTTTGTTCATATGGAAATGTGCAAACGAAAATCTATTAAGGCCTGATTGTAATGCTCAATCTGCTGTCTATGTGATTTGCAAATTGTGACTGAAGCTGCTGAAGTTTTCATTCATGTACATTTACCAAATTGCTAAACGATCGATAGAAAATTTGCTGGTAAAGTAGCTATGGTATACAGTCTCTAATCAGCTTGTACATAAAATGCGGAAATGGTTAATTAAAAAACATAATTCTTAACAAGAGCAAGGGGTTTATTCATTGGTAGATCTGTTGGAAGCCTTTGAAGAACAATTAAATGAAACTAATGGGAAATGTGTGTTTGGCTTCATCAAGTTTTTCCTTAATCATTGGCGTTGGTTTTTTCAGTTCATTTGCTACTTTCCTCTCCCATCTTTGTTTTTTGCCAAAAATTCGTTTTTCTGGCTAAATTGCGTAACGCTTGTTTCATTTAATGGCCTTGATTATTTGCTTGAATCTTCGTAGGCGTGAAGGTGAAAAACAGGAAATAAAATGACCATTTTCGTGCGCGCTGTACAAATTGCATTAGCGTGATATGATTATGCACCAACATTTCCCTAAATGCAATCGGATTCACATTATGTGATGCATAGTAATTATCAGCGAAGCGATCACATTCGAAAAGCTTTGTTGCGTTCGGTGTACGTTGTCGAACCAAAGTTTATGGACGTTGCGAAATTCTATGATTGATTTCTGTAGCCAAAATAACTCTTTTGATGTCCAGATTGGACGATATGATTACACGCTATACCGCAGCTTGCAATAATTAGCAAATAGTTTGCCTGTGATGTTAAATGGTGGAAATTGTAAAATTCCCTTTGGCAATTATGCCTTGGCATTAATTACTGCGAGGGATTTAAATACTGATTTTGTTCCCGTCATGTTTGTGATTTTTTTCAAGTTAATTCCACGTTTTCGTACTTCTGGGTTTCATTTGATATTCATTTTAAAGCGAATTTTTCTTATTTAATTGGTTTTTTAGCTCATGTGGCTGATATCAAGATGACAAGTCTGAGCCAACTTTCGCAAGGTGGTTTTTGAGCAAAAATTGAGCGCTCAGACATCAAATAAATAATTGTAAGTAGAAGGGAAAGCAAATAGCAAAATTCACTTACAAAATACCAAGTAAGCAGCGAGATAAATCAAAGTTTCAAACAGGGAGATGACGGTTTTATAAGGCGGTTTCATAATACTGTATTTTTATCACAATTAAATTAAAATTTTTCAGTTAATTTCTGTTGCATTGTTTGCAGGAGGCAAACATCCTGCGGCAGTTTCGTCCATTTTCATATTCTTGCTTCTAGCTTTGGAAACGTTAGATATTTCCGGTTAAACCTTACTTAAGGCAAAAATAGCATGTGGGACGCTTTTTTCAAAAGATCCTACTAATTTCACCCAAAGTTCGCCTTATCGACTTAAATACCCCATATAAAAAACTTCCACAAACCGGACCCCAAACCTTAACTTTCTTCCATTTCCGCCCAATCAAAGTGCAATAGCTCAGCTCAGCAAATAATAGATACACACACTTTTTGTCGCACTTTCACCTCGCAAGGCACTGATTTAGTTCGACTTTATTGCGACTTTTAGTTAGAGGAATAAGTGAAGAGCGACTTTCCGAAATGTTTGCGGGAATTTCGGCTTGTTTGATGCCGCCCTAGTATCGCTTCTTTTTCCGTTCATATCCAATTTGTAATTCATAAGGAACGTCGAGTCGAGAAGGGGGCAAATATGCTAAAACTTTGCAAGAGAGTGGAGTTTGTTTATTTTGTTTGTTTGCCCCTCTGGCCTGAAAATCTTTTCAGGATTTCATTTAATGTTCAAAGGTCTCGATGTTTCCGACGTTCACAATAGAGAAAAGAGTTGAGATTATTGAGAAAGTCGTCATTATAACAAATAGAGAGGCTCATTTGCATCTGTTGAATGTGGATTTGTTCCAAGCATCAGCAGGCGAAACTCGGCCGGTTTTTAGATAGATATCCAAATAATTAATCCTGCAAATACAGTTTGCTAAAATTCTTCAACAGTGTTGGGAGTGTAACAAAACATTGCAACTGACTGTTTAAATATCCGCTTCGAATTCCGACTTGTTTATTCAAACTCTTTCGCGTCGTGTTTCGTTCCGCAGCGTATGCATTGGAGAAATCCAATTGAGGTTTTGTTTATTTACCGTTCAAATACACATCGATGAGCATTGCGAACATGTAAAACTCGATTTTTAATGGTCGAGTGCATTTCTTGATGCGCCAGCTTGTTCGAGTAGATTCAGGGACCGAAAAATCCTTGTCGGGGAATTTGCCAATTTTTTCGACTACCATAAAACCAGCTTTGAGCATCTTCCACTTATCTTGCGCTATCGTGCACGTAAAACTTATTAAAGTGACAAAAAAATCGGAAACTCACAGAGCAAACGTTCGATTTGCGTGTGTTTCCCATTCGGTTCGAACGCACGGAAAAATCTTAAGAAATGAAATGTTTTATCCCTTTCGCGAGCGTTGAATAATCTGAGCAATAAAAACGCGATTCTACTCAGCAGCTGAGGCAAAAGAACATGATTTATGATGCACGTGATAAACTTGATCTTTCGGCAATGTGAATAATCTTGGCGAGGATAATTTTTTGCTAAGCGAATTAGCTGCATTTTCCTATCTGGAAAGTTGCAAGCTGCAGCGAAACACACATTTTTCAGTGCAGATTTTTTTACATTTGAAATTAGTTTTCATTTGCATTTGCTTGAAAAAATGTTCATAATCCATTACTGTATGATTCACATTTCAATTTCAATGTGTTTCTTTAATCCCAAAGGAAGCTTAAAATATAACATTGCAAAATATGTTCATGTGCAAATTGACTAGTCCAGGACAGGTTTCGAGTATTTTAGCTCTCATCAGCTGGATTTAGCCTGAAAATAACACTTCCGAAATTATTTCGCCCATTTGCCCAAGGTTCGAGAGTGTTATTTTCAGGCCAATCCAGCTGATGAGCGCTAATAGACTCGAAATCTGTCCTGGCCCATTGGGATCTGATGATTCTGAGCGTTTCTATGTTTGTTTCACCAAGTGTTTGCGGCAATTTCGTTCAAGGCAAAATATGCAAGTTTCTAATAGTTTCCCAAAGTAAAGTCAAACAACAGGGAAACCGCCGCATATTATTTAATGTTCGTAATATGTCTGAACCAGTTTTCAATTGACTATTAAAGGGATAGAATTGCGCATAACGAAAGCTGAACTAAACAGTCATTATCTTTTCCAGAATAATTGCAGAATGATGTTTAGTTGGGCTGGCACGAACGCATATGAAAAGGCACATAAGTAGCGAAAATAAGCGCACGAACGGAAGCTTTCCGAAAATATTTGGCCTCTATTGCAGGGCATTATTTGCTGGTTTGTTGCGCAAACATGGCATGTTTGCAAAAGGAACTTTCCAAAATTCATGATCCCTCAAAAACGTTCCGTGGCTGTAAATAAGGTTGAGAAAAAAATATTTCAACCCACAAAAATCGGAAAGTTTCTCATCAAATTGAACTGACACGATTATCAAAGACTCACATTAAGACAGAGGAAATGGCATTTTCTGGAAACACCTTCCCAAAAAAGGATGTTTCCGCTGGAAGGGCGATTTTCAGGCGGAGTTGCGTGCTTTTGAGGCTGACTTCGTGCCAAATCCAGGCCGTTAGACAGCTATTAATCTGGAAAAGATAGAGACGGCATAAGTTAGCTTATGTGCAATGTAACTACAGCCCCATTTCTGGTTAATTGCATGCTACTTTGAAGGGCTGTACATCTGTGAACGAAGCTTAACCGTAATTGTTTGGAGTTTGATGGCTTCCCGTTGGCAAATGCTATGTGGAGTGAATTTGCGCGTAATTTATTCTAGAGCTAGAAGGCCGAGTTGCCAAAATTGCTCGTTTTTTTCCAAATCTGTACAAAGTATTCAAAATATTTACACATTAGCTATTAGGTTTAGTCCAAATGCACTGAACCTTGGCTTGAAATTTTCCTGATATAGTTTTTGAATTTAACGGCAAACCAAAGGAGAAAAAGTGTAAATTTCCATCCAACAGTGACGATTTAAATGTCTAATTAATTTTTGTGCTACAAACATGCTAATTTGGTGACCAGCAAAAACCAAATGCGCCGTTCGATTAAACAACGCGCTTAATTTACTAATTCTATTCTTTGTTAATATGACATATATTGGTTATTAGCTGAAAACCAAATTTATTTCTCCGTTCATAATGTGTTGTTTAAAGCAGTTTTGTTAATTAGCAGCCGCGCTTTTTGTTCCCGGTGTTTGTTTGATAATATTTATTTAAAAATTTCATCAATCCCGCGTTCCAAATTAGGCGTATTTGTGCAAGCATTTTTTATCGCCTAATTAGTTGTTTGTGTTGACTGTTTCCAATATTTGCTGTATGCGGGTTTTTAGGTGGAAAAGTCCCAGTGGAAACTATAAATAGCAAAAAGTTCACGATGTACATCAATTTATCGCCCAAAACTCGCTAATTCTAAGGTTTATTAATAAATGAAGGCGCCTTTTATTTGTCTTCTGACTGGGACATTTTCGTCGCAAATGTTGCACGTCGCAAATGCATGACATTTATTGTGGATGATACAACATTATATTATGTGAGATTCCCAGATGGACATGTGCCTCTGTTTCAGAGCTAACGTGAAAATAAAGCGCCATGTTCTCAAGGTTTGATTTAAATGGAACGTGTAACATGGACAAAAGGAAAATGTGGGTCAACTCCGCTAGGCGATATAGACAAAGTAGAATATTTATTGAAAATCCTCTTCATAGAGTTTTATGTGTTGGGGCAGTTCCCATTTCCATCAATCGGTCGCCAGAAGACCGTAAAGTGCCCCGTTTGCTTCAACCTGTCGATTTTTCCTTTTGGACCGGGGCCAAAAGGCTCTAATGCATTTTGCCGCTGAATGTGGCACAAAATAATGGTCAAGCCGAAGTTAAGTAATTTTGTTCGGCTTTTTCTGGTCGAATAAAACGTGTCAAGTGTATTATTTCGATGCTGATGATAAGTCGTAGCTGAGAACATTGCATTTGAACAGAAAGCTGTTTTCAATGAACGCACCACTGCATTTCGTCGAATTAATTATAATTACCCGAAAAATGCAGTCTATTTCTCTAAATTGCTGAAATAAAATTCTTAAACGGGCGTTTCATTATTACGAAAATGAGCGAAATTGCCGCTATAGAAAGTCGGCCGGTGTGCCTTTTAGGAAGGCAATAGTTAAAAATTTACATTTCAGTCGTAACATTACTTGCCAACAGTAAATGCAGTTCGTTGAAAGTACGTACTAAAAGTAAGTTAATTCTGAATGGATTTAGTATTTATGATTCGCTGCATAGAAAAGATCGTTTCAGCGGAGAAAAGAGCCTCCGTTTTTAAGTGTCTCCAAGCTGGACTCATTTTCAGCCAATATAATTAGCAAAATCCTTTTGTTGATTGGTTTGCTGCAATTGTGCTATTGAGGGGTTTCGACTAGATGTTGCCAAATAAAGCTTTTTTCGTTTTCACATTGAAATAATTGATTGTCTAGTATAAAATTGGGAGACTTTGGTCGGCAAAACTGGATGTTTCTGCGCAACTGCTTCTGGCAATTAAAAATTCCCATCCTTTGACTATTGATGCTTAAAGTTTCATAAAAATAATTTAGTAAAAAAAATCTTGATTTTTTCCATCTTAGTAAAAATCGATTTGAAATTGACGTTTTTTCTCAAATGCTTTCTCTGTTTTAAAAATTCGGTTTCTTCCACACTACAACACGGAGCCTACTGAAAGTTTCACCATCCTTAGAAAATACTGAGTTCAAGTGATGCTGAAAGTTTCATTGAAATATCCAAAAGTGTCGATTTATGGTTTCTATCTAGAAATTGGCGTTTTTACTCAAACGCTACAATGCGCTCCTTTAAAAAATTGCACCTTCTAGACTAAGGCAAGTAGCACTTTGAAAACCTCTAAAGGCTTTCAAAAAAACAGGCAGAAAACTCTGACAATTCTGAGATTTTGGAAAAATCGCAAGGCACCCTGATTTTTGCCGATTTAGTACAAAAAAACGGTCAGAAAAGGGTGATTTTATTCAAATGCACGCTCTCCTTTAAAAATCTCGCTTCTTTAGCACTACAGCAAGTACCATCCTGAAAGTTTCACCGTTTTAAGGAAGTTTACTGAAAGATAGAGAAGATACTGAAAGTTTAATAAAAATGGACAAAAATCCTGAATTTTTCCCACTTAATAAATTTTGATCTCTAAATGAATATTTTTGCCCAAATGCGCAATCTGCTTTAAAAATTCGCAACTTCCAAACTAAACCAAGCAGCTCGTTCATATTTTCAGTGAGTTTAGACAACGCTTGAGTCTACAGACTCTGAAAGTTTCCTAGAAATTTCTCTAAATACTGATTTTTTTTTATTTTTGCAAATATCGACCTCAAAATGGATGTTTTTACTCAAATGCGCTCCTCATTCAAAAATGCCTTTCTTCCAAACTACAGTAAGTAGCATACCGAAAGTTTACTTATCTTTAGCCAAGGCTTCGTTCTAACGATACTGAAAATTTGATAAAAATCGCCCAGAACCCTGACTTTTGCCAGCTTAGTAACTATCAGTCACAAAATGGATTTCTTTGTCGAACTGTCTTAAAAATTCAAGTAGAAATTTGAAAGTTTCATCGGCGTTAGGAGGAGGACATTTGGGCGTTAATCATTCTGAAAGTTTCATAAAAATCATCCAGAGTTTTCATGTTTTGCAGCTTAATAAATCTTGGTCCCATAGTAGACGGTTCTACTCAAATGAGTTGTTCTTTTAAACATAAGATATAGACGCTTCAACCTAAAGATGCTGAGAGTTTCAGAAAAATCACAGATAGTTTTCTGCGATTTTTCCAGCTTAGTAAATCTCAGTCTCATAGTGAATGGTTTCACTCAACTGCCCTTTAAAGAATCGAATTCTCCGAACTAAGGTAACCAGAAAATTAAAAATTTCAACATAAATGTTGATTTTAACCTCCCCTCATGTTTCAGTTTTAATTTCCATTCTCCATTCAAAAACAGTTCAGATGATGGTCTTAATTTTTCGACACGAGAAAATTCCGCACTTCTTCCATAATTTATTATGCCAAAAGGTTGTTCCTGAACCGAATTTCCACTGTCCCACGGCAGAGCTTTTCACTTTATGGATATATGATCCAATTCCACAACAAATGAATTCTTAAGTGAAAGGTGACAAACTGCACTATGAAAACGACGCACATGTCCCTAGTCGCTCGACATATTTTCTATCCTGTTATCCTTTTTAAGGGCAGCTCTATATCAAACCTGTAGAAGCATTTTTCAGCGACGAAAAACATACATTATTTTGTCTCAGAGTTTTTCTTACCTGCATCGGACTGATCTGTCTGTCGGGACTAATGCAATTTTTCTTCGTTTTCCCGCTTTGCTAACAGCATTTTTTGTTTTCGCTCTAAAAAGATTTGAAACGCATCTGGGCTTGCGGATATTTTAAACACTGATAGAAATTTAGCAAATTTTTTGCAACGGGTTAATTGCAGTGTTCGTCGGCATCGAAAACGATTTGCATAAATTCCCCATTTAACTCGGAGGAAAAACGCTTCGTCTGGCACTCCTTTTTATCAACTGTCCCGTAGTTTCCGATCTCAATTCCAGATTTTCGAGGAAGGTGACGCTCACTCGCCTATCTTAAGATCACTGGGAAGAGGGCGCAGCCCTAAGCAGGCACACCGCAATCGGAAACCGAACACTGTCTTTGATTGGATCTATTAAGTCCGCATTAAAGGGCCATATTGTGTTCAGATGTGTTGAGGTTCCGGTTTTACACCGCCAACCACTAATTGTTTCGGGAATGCATTGATTAGCTTATTCTAACACTTGCGGTTCGTGTAAATCGATAAGCCTCACTCAGGTTCAATTTAGCACATGATATGCCATAATAATGGCAGTTAATCACTCAACTGACCGTATTAAGGGGGACAGCAGAGTCTCCATGATAAAAAAAACGGCCTGCACCCCTAAAAATAATCCATTTCCAAGTGGAAAATGCCATAAATTCCCCCTGATCGGCGGCCGGTTGACGAAGCAAATTGTTTCTAATCGCTCATGGAAAAATGGCATTTTCAAACGTCCGATGGCTTAACGAATTTAGTATCGGCGAAATAGCGGAAAAATATTTCATTAAGCAACGAAAAAATGTCTTAATTAAAAATCCACTTGGACCAGCTTTTAATTAAAAGAGTCCCGTTTTAGGCCTGCCTGTAAAATCGGATCAAAAAGAGAAGCAAAATTATCCCACTTTATTAATTAAAAGCTAATTGAAAGGGGTGTCCTGATACAAGGTAATCCAGTGGTACTTAAAATGAATTCAGCTTTTTCAAACGCGATTTTCCATTCAGGAAAATGCTCAGAATGAGGCTTTGAATGGCGCTAATTCTAAAGCAGATGTGTCAAAGTTGTTTTTATTTTCTGTGCAGTTTTTAACTAATAATACATCTAGTCCTGCGTTATCGGATACTTGACATGAAATAAAAATTAATTTTCAACAGAATTCATTCAGCAAACAAAATAGCTTTCAGAATTTCTCCACTTCCAAAGTTCTTTGGCTGTGTAGCGTTCATGTTCAGTTGTTCAACAGTTTAGATCGCGGTGGTTCCCAGTGAAACACCCTGTATAGGGTTATTCAAAGGTCCCCTTGCAATTTTAAGTGTTTTCTATTTCTGATACAAAAACTTTCATCCCTTATTCATAGGCAATTTGGGTCTTCAGATTTTCACTAAAATCGCCGACTTTCTTACCGCAGTGATTACTTCCAACTGAATTATGTCCCACTAAAAGCTTTAAAACAGTGGCTTGATCCAGTTGAAGTTGAAGTGTTTGTGTTTAATCAGAACAACTACGAGAACGATTCCGTTCAAACTACAAGTTCTTAGTTAACAACAGCTGTCGCAGACAAGAATTTCGCCGAGAACCCCTCACTTGTCCGGGAATACAATCCTTCTTAATCAATTCGAAAGTCGTTATATAGCACTTCTGCAGTGCCAAATTGAAGTTTTCGCCAACTCCCTCCTTTACCAACAGTTGTACGAATCCTGTTTGACAATCGGTTTCCAACGCAGCTTCCGACATCGGTCTAAATCATGCTAAATGTGTCCTCTTTCTCGGAAATAGTGCGGAAAATCAAAGGGGGTTGGAAAGAACAGAATATACATTTTTCTTATTATACTGTCGAAAAATTCAAACACAGTGTCGTTGAAGCGGCGGGCTTATTTATCAGCTGCCTATGTGTTTTTGCATCATTACAAAGTAGCCATTCGCGATTTATTAAATACAAAGTTAATGTTATTGTTTTCCTTTCACTCTCAAAATCTTCTTGCTTCAGTTTTTTTTATCCTCAGTTTCATTTACTTGGGTTCGCTTCAGCTCACAATCTCAGATTTGTGAGATTAAAAAAATAATTTAGCTGCTATTTTTGTTACTTTCCATTCACCTCAAGAGCGGGTCTTATTCAACTAAAGAGCCTTTGAACTTTATCTTTTGCTTTTTTTTCTGGGTTCTTTTTATATTCATATCCAGCGATTTTAAAGGAAAAAGTTCACTTTGCGATGCTCAAGGTTTATGCGATGCTCAAGGTTTTACTGTTTCCCCATCACCTTGTTCCCTTCAGCTTTTTGGTCTTCGGTTTCTCTTCTTTTGCTTGATTCACATTTCTTCTCACCATACATTTATTACATTAGAGTTCATTTCAAATGCGTATGTTTTGCAGCTGACGTGACTTTTGTCTTCTTTTTTTCGCTCGTTTATGATGATCACAGCGTTATTTTGTGTAATTTTTATATAAGTCAGTTTGAAACATTGTACTGTATTACGATTGGATGTATTTAGTCCTGATGATTTCACTTTTTCTTCTATAAATTTGTTGCTCCAACTTTTTGGTCTTAGCTTTAATTTTTTTTGCTTTCTTTGCTTTCTCTCTAGTTCAGTTCGGTTCTCGTTCGATTGTTCGCTTCAATTTGCCACTTTGGCTACATTCGAGTTCACTTCACGTTTCTTCGCATTGCAACTTTATCTGTGTATTTAGCCTTTGTCTGTTTCCGATTTTAATTTTTTTGTCGATTTATCAAACATGTTCGTTTATATTGAATCACTCATCATTCGTCCTAAATTATTGTTCTACGTTTGGTTAACTTTTCGTTTCACAAGTTCATAGCTGCTCCTTTTTGCGTTTTAATGCGTTTGACTTCAGTTTCAATCCTTTTGTTTTGTAACTTGTAATTATTTTTCACCTTTGTTCGATTCCTATTTTTCCTGTTGATTTTCTCGTTGTGTATTTTTTAAGTCTGATTCGGCAAAAAAGTTCTTGTGATTTTGAAGTGAAAGTTTCACTTTTCTTCCTATATTGTTGTTTCTTCACCATTTTCGTCTTCGGTTTATTTTCCTTTGATTTGTTCACTTTTCAACTGCAGAGCAGTGAGCCTGGTTTTTTGTCTTAATGCTTCTTTTGCTGCGTTTGAGTTCACTTGAACTTCGTCTGTTTTTCAACTTCTATGGCCTCAGGCTTTGCCTGTTCTGTTGCCAATTTTTATTGGTTGTCAATTTACCAAATATGCTGACGGTTGACTAAGTTGTTTGGTCTGATTCTCTTTAAAATTGTATTGCGGTTTGGAAGCGGATAGTTAACTTTTCATACATATTTTAGGCCTCTTGGCTTCACTTTTTTCCCCAAACTGTTGTTCCTTCATCATTTTTCTCTTCAGAACCTTTCCCTTGTTTTGTTCACTTTTTGCCTCACAAGCTCATATCCATTGGGCCTTTTTATTCGTTTCCTTTGTTTTTCTCGCTTTTCTTCTAACAAACTCAGGTTTTTTCGCTGTTTTACTTTCGTTACAAATTAGTGCTACTTTGTGACTAATTAAAAATATTATTCAACTTCGGTCACTGATTTTGTTGCTTGTTATTTGTTGAGTTTTCTATCAAATGAAGCTATTCTTTCCTATAGATTAAACTGTCGTTTTTATGTTTTAAAACTTAGACAGCTGAACATTTTCATGCGGTTTTAAACTGGAATGTTTGCCTGATTTACATATTTAGTTCTCATGATTCCACTTTTTCTCCCAGCAGCTTGCTTTTTCAGCATCCTCGTGTTGGGTGTCTGATTTGTGTGTTATTTTTAATCTAACCAGCTCGTGTTTTTCCTGCAATTTTTTTCGTTTTCGTGCAACTTTTACTACTTTCGGCCTCACGTTAAATTTGTTATGAATCTTCTCTGGTTTTGGGCTCAGTTCTCACCTGTTCTGCCAATTTTTTCTCAATCTCTTTCCAGTGACCTCAGTTGAAACATTTATTGCGGTTTTCAAAACACTTTATTGAACGATGTATTGCGGTTCATTCCACAAGCTTATATTTACACGTGCTGAATGTTTTGTCGCCTCAATTTCAACTTTTTTAGATCGTTAAATCCACTTCAGTGCCCGTGTTTTGCAATTTCTGTCCATTGAAGTGATTAGTTGATTACATACACGTTCTTCATTGAATTGTTGTATTTTTATTTGGCGGGTTAAACCGTCGTTCTTGAAATTCAGTTGAAAATCAGTTGAAATTAATGTTGCGTTCTTGAGGAGGAATCTTCAAAGGAAAATTGCATAGTTTCAGAATGTTTGCCTCATTCAGTTTTTCATATTCATATTGTTGAGACTCAGAGGGTAAAAATAAAACACTGTTTGAGGCTGAAAATGTTTGAATTATTCCAAATGGTTTGAAAATTGATTGCTTTGTCAGCATCTACAGGATATGTTATATAGTATGTCTAAATATATTTTCAGTTTCAGCAAGTATCCAAAATTTCCTACGCATTTGGCTGCGTATAGATTAATGTTTGGTAAAATGTTCCACAATTTTTCCCGATCAAAACCAATCGCATTAGAACAAACAAATTAGCGTCAAACATGCTGTTTGATGCTAGGCAAGAACGCAACTCGAATGCCTGCTGGTATCACACTTTCACACTTGGCTAATCTTGAGCTTCTGTTTGTTTCCGACTGCTGGCAAATGTACCTGGTAGTTTAGTGCGGAAATGGAAAGACAAGCATAATATATCGGTCGAAATCCAGGAATTGCAGATCCACTCCCACCGCATAAATTCTCCTGCCATGCATTTACCAAGATAGGAAGTTCCCAATGCCGTTCGAATCCAATGGCTAATCGAAATTTAAATCCGCGGCTTGGAATGTTCGTTCAAGTGAAATTCCGAGTTTGGATTCAATTTTCTTATTCGAACGATGCGACAAAAGATGCATTTTGGATGGCTGACCGAGCACCGGAAACTTTATCTTCGGGATGTCGCGATGGATCAAAGCGCCGTGTCCGAGCAGAATGTCGAAAACTTTTCCTACACTTCGATCGTCAACTCGATGGGAAGTCTGCTTTTGGCAATTATTTCAGGCATTTTTTACATTTCCTCAGGTTGGCGTTTGAACGAAATTAAAACAGCAAATCGTGTAATTGCTTTGGCATACACTCATTATTTTCTACTCAGCTTAACAGCTCCAGCAATGTTTCAAACGTACAGTGCGGAAGAGTTTAATTAAAATCAGAACGAGCATACTTTTCTGGACTTTATTGCGAAATGCCAGACATTTGCTCGTAAATTTCGACAAGCTCGTGCACACGGTTACATACGAGCCTAATAAGTAGACATAACATACACCCACTTGTATATCGGAGAAAGGTAGTGAATACCAATTGCCAATGCTGAAGCAAACAGTGGCACAGCTTGGCAATTTTCAACTTTTATTCATATTTTTCCCGCTGCCAATAATCAAGCTGTTACTGATTTGTCCATTTTTTTTTAAAGCGGTGAAACCCACAGGGTTTTCTTGACAGAAAACTCCATGTACATGCAAAGAACGCCTTTGCCTAGCACTGTTTCA